ACGCGGCCCGCGGCCCCACGCGTGCCCAGGGGTGCTCTCCGGGACCAGCTGTGCCGCCCGAGTTGTTTAGGAGTTCAGAGAACCCAGCCCGGCTGCGGTCGGGAGGTTCTGCTATCGGTGTGAATACACTGGTAAAACTTCGCAGAACAGACGTGACCAGCTCAGCCCTTTTGTCTGTGTAGCAAGGCTTTTAATGGCATTTCATAAATGCCCAGCAATTCCACTAACATACACCTGCTGTGCATGCAGCAGAATATGGCAGCAAGCTGTCTTTTGTAAAATTAAACACTGCTCAGTGGTAATGTTATGTAAATAATGGCAGTCTTCTTTCTCAGTTACAAGGATTTTATTTTTCAGTTGATCACCTGAATAGCAATAGATATAAAAGCATAATTATAAATCATAGAATCAACCGGGTTAGAGGAGAACTCAAAGATCATCAAGTCCAGCTCTACCGTGGTCACTAGACCATGGCACTAAGTGCCACATCCAGTCTCATCTTGAAAACCTCCAGGGATGGTGAATCCACCACCTCCCCGGGCAACACATTCCAATGCCTGATCACTCTCTCTGTAAAAAATCTCTTCCTAATATCCAACCTAAACCTCCCCTGGCAGAGCTTGAGTCTGTGCCCTCTTGTCCTGCTGCTGGTTGCCTGGGAGAAGAGGCCAACCCCCACCTGACTCCAACCTCCTGTCAGGGAGTTGTAGAGGGTGATAAGGTCTCCCCTGAGCCTCCTCTTCTCCAGGCTGAACAACCCCAGCTCCCTCAGCCTCTCCTCTTGTGCATCTATGGTTGAAGTAAGGAACTTACCTGCAAAATCCCATGGATTTTTCTCTATGGGATACTTTCCAGTCAGATCAGTTTCCCTTTTTGGTTCACCTTGTGACCAGTCTTATGCAAAGGTATTGTACGGGCAGAAGCCTCTTTAGCAGTAATGCTGCTAAAGAGCTAACCATGAGCTCAGTTTTTCCACTGGAAGAGTTCTAAAAAGCGTTGGTAAAAACACTTAGTTTTGTGAATGATTCATAATATTCCATTTCTAGCTTTGAATTAAGGAAAATGTGATAAAACCAAAACTAGTAGTATCATTAGTCATACAGAGGATAATGCACCTATGATGAAATGTAATAGAGGTAATAGGGTACATCAAGCAGAAAATGCAAGAATATTTTCAACACAAATACATAATTACCAGAACTAAATATAGCAAAGAAACCAGGAGGCTAAAAATAGCAGCAAGCTGTATCTATCCAATTTCCCAAAGGATCTCTAGCACCCAGTGGTAATTCTGGAGAAAACGTAGAAGTGCTGTACTGTCTCTCCTCACACTTTGCACGTATGGGAGTGTAACACCTACCTACTGCAGTGTTGCAGTAGCAAATTACTCTGACAAGGTCAAAACAGGCAACACAGCAGTGGAGATGACACACATTTGCATTTTCTGCCAAAAGTCATGGCCTAGGCAAGGCCATTTTGTAATGCTACTTCTCTCCTTATTTAAAAGGATCCCAAAGGAATGGGACAGCTTAGAGATAGTGTGGTGGTTTGTGAAACTATTCTCCTCCTAGAAATACTGCTATTCTGCTCTTGTCATCAATGTGAGTTTGCTCTGGTGTGTAACGATAATTTTGTTTCACTCACAAGGGTTATGTGAGAGCCAACATAACTTTCAAACAGTGCTGAATTACGAGCAGCAGGTCTTCAGTGAACTATTGAATGATAGGACTGGATTGGGCTAGAAATGCAGAAATTTCCAGTGCACTTCCATTAACTATAGCTACGTTTCCCACCGAACTGTCAATGCCATCTTGTATGTGAAATACTTCAGAGCCACAGAACAACCATCTGCTCAGTGTTCCTTTTTGATCCTCACTGGCCTATTCAAAAGAGGATCTGTTTCAGGAAGCTGATTTTGAAACTAAGTTTCACATCACTCCAGAACACTAAAATCAGTGGATGTTGGTTTGAAAGCCTTTCAGTATCCACATAATCCTTGTAAGGAGAGGTTGGCCAGCATCCACTCCTAGAGCCTTTTCTTAAAGAGAGTGTAACTGACCCAGAACCAGAACCTTTTGCTTTAAACCTGCAGATTCCCTCAGATGCTTTGTCACATCTGATGGCTGCAATCACGATGGCATGGATGAAGTCAGGGTCACCAGAGGGGAGGTTTGGCTCTTTCCTGTCGTGTTTTGCTACCGACTCGACAACACTGGCACCTGTGTATTGCTCTGAGTTGTGCTCATGTCCCTTGCACCAGCCACTGTAGTGGGAGGGAGGCTCACTGCTTACAGGAGGAGGATGGTAGTCCTCCTTTCCCAGCAGTCAACACTGATACTTGAGGTGACTGTGCAATCATACCCAAAGTCTCTGGTGACCTATTTACATTTAAAACTACTAGCTGACTTTCTAGTTTGAAGTGGCAGATAACAGCAGATAAGCCATTATCTCTGAAATGCATCTACTAGTTAGCTCTTTCAATCTGCAAAATAAAAGTTCCCAGAAGTGGTATCTGCCGGTAGATATCTACCGATATCACAGCTCTATCTGACTGGGTGAAAACAAAAAATTACCTATTAATTTTCTTGTTTTCTTATGTATCTGTGTGCCATGTGCTAAGTGAACTCTTTCTGTCTCATTTGTCTTTCTGCACCCTGATGCTACAAACCATGTCAAATGTATATAACTAAATCTTCATAAGCACATTGGGATTGTTTTTTTGTATGATGAGGCACTGGAAAAATAACAATACTATACAGTTTGAGTCACTACTTATAAATAAAAATGCTGAATCAGGAGCATGGCCTCTTTGCTCATCTAGTCTTGCTTATCTACACTGGTAAGGAAACTATTTTGTTAAAAGATAGACTTATTTTTCTTAGGAAGGAAGAACTGATCCAACTCTCAGTGTTAGAAAATAGTGGGAAGATTATTCTTGAACTCCTATCAGACAAACAGAACTGTTCAAGCCCAAATCCTGATTATTATATCCCTATGCACATCACTGTCTTTTGGTCACCTTTTCCATGGGTACTTCACAGAACAAAGTTCCATTTGATTTCACTGAGAATTAAAGGAGTATCTTGCTCCCATACTGGATAAAAGGAAGAGGAAAGTATGGATTAGAGTCCACCAGGTAACACTCTTCCCATTCCATTCAAGCAGAGCTTGTATGAAACAGAGAATCCAGACTCTCCGTGTCAATGACAGATATCTATACAAATCTAAAAGTAAGTATGGCTTTCATTTGCTACATCAGTTTTCTTCTGCAAGTCAAAACCAAAAATACACGAGCAAAACAAAAGCTTTTTCTTTGGGTTTTTTTTCTGTTTTTAATAGTTTCAGGCTTGCCAAAAGAGTAAAAAACTATGTTTGTGCTAACTTGGGTCAGACCAGGTGATCTGCATTAAAATTTTCTTAAGCAATTGTTCTGCCAGAACAACAGAAATGTTGTTCAACAGCAGGCAACAGAAATGACACAGACAGCAATGAAAAGAATAAGCTTATTTTACTATTGGAGTTTTAGATAATAGAAAAATGAACAATGCAATTATTTATACAGTTAGGTTACCGAGCTCTAATTCAAGCAGCACAAACAGCAAACGCAATAAGCAAGGTAATGCACCATAATAATGACATCACCAATTGCCCTAATACTTTATCATCATCCAGACCTGCAGTCCCTGGGGAGCCCCTGGTTGAAGCAAGAATTTGGAGAGCCTTTCCTGGCAATTGGGAAGTCCTACACAGTGTGTCCACTCGTAGGTGAGGTGTCCAAGGTCACTGCAAGAGGGTCCAGATTTTATAGGCCAAATCAACAAACTAGAAATAACTTGTAGGTTTTTTGTCATTTCATGTGGATAACACCTGGTGGTACTCCCCTCTGACCGACCGAGGCTGGGGCTTGGCCAGAGCCCAGGACATGGGTGATGGAGTTTCCTAAGATATCTTGCAGATGGTGGCATGGCCTTGGAAATACTTTGCAGACAGATATATATATAGCCTGTGCAAAGGTTATCAGTTGTTTAGTCATCTGCTTCAGCATTAAAACAGCTGCATCTATGTTACTATGTAGGTACTTTCAGTGGTTTGGTTAGCTAACACAAAGCACATTGATCACAAGAAGTACAAGATTCATTTATAAGCCAACTCTGGCTTGGGCCTCTTGTCCAAGCCCCATCATTTCAGCAATACATGGTTTCATCACATCACTGGTTCTTGTATTCTTGTCTTCATGAGCAGAAGAACTTTGCACTGTCAGTGGCATCATATTCATAATGTCCTTTTGGATGTTTTCTTCTAAGTTGGTTTCTGTTACCCCAACTGCTGGAGCTTCCGTTTGAGCTCTGTAAAAAGAAGTTACACTTTAGTCTGATAATTGCAATAAATTCTCACTCAAGAGAAAAAGGAATTGACTTTTAATAAAGACCAAGATACATCTCAACAGCAGCAAAAAAGAGTCAACACCACTTTATCTCAGTAAAACATCCAACCGTGAAATTGCAAAATACCTGTGTTTAGGCAATATTATTACCACAGAATTACATACATAATTTTTTTTGCTTTTTATGGACTTCTTGTCACTACAAAGATAATAAAAAACCTTTTCAGCATTTAAGCTGTAGCCTTTAGATCTAATGATTACAAATATCATAAAATTGTCCATAATGTGAATTATATAAAAGTATTTCTCATACTTTCCACTTGAAGGTATATTCCCTCACATTCAGTTACTCCAATGAACCTGCCTTTTATTGCACCAGTTTACATACAGGTATTGTGGGTAAAAATCTGTCATGGCAATTCTGAATGCAGCTGTTTACAATGGCTTTGAGAAATTTGTCTTCTGGAAAATTTCTAGCCAGCAGGTTGAGGTGTTCATTTGACCAGTAAACACATTGGGATATTAGAAAAGAATAAGAAAGTATTGATGGCACTTCTGGTGTAAATGATTTGTAAAATAAAATTATTAAAGCCTTTGGAGAATAAATGTACCTTTTCCTATAGTCTGCTTCTACTTTAATTTGTTATAAGAATGGCACCATAAGTTTTATTTAGCTGCTTCTAAGATCATTGTGATTTAAAGACCTGTCCAAGTGAAAATACATAGGAGGCACAGTCTATGAAATAGGTCAGTAAGGTTACCAGACACTTCAAGCACTGTGCCTCAGTTTCGTTCCTCACTGGGATTTTAATTCTCATTTTGTCCATTTATTGTAGAGTTTAAACAAGACTTTTGAATCTTTAACATACATTTTACTTTATTATTTAGACTAGCTTCCAGCTTAACATTTAATTATGTCTTCATTTCTTTAGGAAAATCTAAGTAATGCCAGGGAAACCTTTGCATACTCTTATTATCTCCATAGACCTGCTCATTACTTTCATAGCTACAATTTGCAATAAAATCACAATATAAATCTCAGAAGAAAACAAAACAAAACAAACCCAAGCCAACAAAAAAACCAGACACAGCAAACCCCCAAAGCAACAGAGCTTTTCTCGTTTCCCCTCCAGCCCATTAACCTTTTAGCAATCAGGATCTTGGTTGTACCTGGCTGAAGTTAAAGCAGCCAATGGACCCTGAAGGCCAAAGCAGGTAAGGCCGTTTCATTATTAGCCATGAGAGACTTCAGGGATACTCATATTTATTCCTAGGGATTTGTGAGTTTTGTCACAGACTCATATTTATGCAATAGTAAATTACAGAATTGCTTCTCCATTATACAAAGCCAATGAAAATCAAGAAAGGCTGCTATTTAAATCTGTACATTTGCTGTAATTTGAAGAAATTAATTTGATTGACCTATTCCTATTGCTCCTGGAAATAGTACTCAATTCCTGACAATGGAGAAGAACCAAAGAAGCTCCTCGCTAATAGGCTTAAAATGAAGGAAAAGAGAAATCTGGTCTGAGTCTAAAAAATTATTAAACATTCCATACTAATTCTCAGTGCTTTCCAAAACATCTAAGAGACTTGCTTTTGAAGAAATTAATTTGATTGACCTATTCCTATTGCTCCTGGAAATAGTACTCAATTCCTGACAATGGAGAAGAACCAAAGAAGCTCCTCGCTAATAGGCTTAAAATGAAGGAAAAGAGAAATCTGGTCTGAGTCTAAAAAATTATTAAACATTCCATACTAATTCTCAGTGCTTTCCAAAACATCTAAGAGACTTGCTAACATATATGGCACTAATCATGGGAGTCCTTTGACATTTCTGCTGGATCCTGTCACAACTTCTGCTACTCTTCGAGAATTTACTGTGAAACTGATAAACTAACAAGTCCCCTGGCTTTCCTTGGTTTGCATAACTGAGACTTTTCCTGATGGGCTTTTGATTTGTTTGAGTCAAAGGGGAAATAAAAGTAGAATAAACCTGTTCTAGCACTCCCACTGAGAAAAGAATCTGCAAACAAACTTCCCCTAAAACATGTAGACATGACTTTCCTAGTGAAATTCAGAGATCTCAGTGAGGTAACATACATGGTGATAAGCATACACAGGGAAAATAAATCTTTCATGTAATTGAACAAAAGTGAAGTGATTAACTCACACAAAGTAAATTAACAAATCAAGGTCAGATGCTCTGTGATGCCATTGGCTCTGAAAATGGCTATTTCATTAGTCTCTTGTATTTAATTTTTCTTCGTATTGCTTTTTAATTATCAGTTCAATTCTCTGTATCGAGGTATTCAACATCTTAAACAAGAATGTAATTATCTTGACTGATAAAAATTAATTATAACCCAAATATCCTCTGGAGCATTTGTAACTTCTTTTACATGCTGCCCTCCACAACTTTCTCTTAGCTGCCCACATTTTTGCCTCCTCTGAAGACATTTCCATTCTTGAAAGTGTTGCCGCCTAATTAAAAAGTAAAAATAAAAATAAGTATCTTTAGACCATTTTAAAAGCATTTTAAAATAACACATGGTGCATATCTCAATTGCTATAAAAATTGTTTGAGTAACCCTTTAGCTCAGGTCTTCTAATGTAATTTTAGGGCTAGAAAGGCTTCTATGCCAATCTTTAGACAATAATATAACATTAAAATACATCTTAATTAATCAGTGTGAAAACTGGGAAACTTGAGTAACAAACGAGTTTCCCAAGCATTTATCATTTGAGACAAAGCAAGAAGAAACTGAAGCAGGTACTAATTGTTTTTGTGATTTTGAAAATGAGGTTAGTTTAAGGAGGAATTGCAGTTCTTACACTAAAATTTGCTAAACAATTTGAAAATATTTCATGAAAACTGAAATGTAAAAACAGCAGATGGCAGTCTTCAACTATAAAAATTCTGGCAAGGTAGAAAAGGAAAATGCCTTACTGAGATTTAAAAGCAGCTATTAATTTTATTAAACTGAGAGCCACTGTAGAAGGGGCTTTTCTAAATATATAAATTCAATAATATATGTACCATGTTATTATACTCTAACAATACATGATAGTTTAGGTTCATAAATTCCATATAATTATGTGAATGATTATCTTCTTGTGAGAATACAGTCCTAGATAAGCAGTGTTAGCACTACAATTATTTTAGCCATTTTAACAACACAAAGGCAGCAAGTACAGGTAGAATCTAGACAGAGGAAATGTTTTGATTGCATTAGCTTTTTTATTTTGTGTAAATCATGTCCCATTTTTCTTAGTTACAGTACAAGGCTCTGCAGGACTCAGCAGAGTACTTTGTAAAATACCTCCAAAATTCTGCTGTGAATGTCCAGTATAGTTAGAACTACTAAGTCTCCATACAAGGTGCCAAAGTTTTCTTGAACCTGCGTTCATAAGCAGACTGACTCTGCATGGTACTGCTAGTAAAATGATCAGTGTACTCCTATTAATAGTTGTCTAGGGTTGTGTCACAGTTATGCCTGAGAACAGTATGTTGTATATCACAGAATTCCAGAGCTGCAGCATGGCTGAGGTTGGAAGGGAGCTCACCTGTCTCAACTCTTCTGCTCCAACAGCATCAGCCTTGAGCAGGGTGTCCAGGGCCACGTCCAGACAGCTTCTAAACATCACCAGGGATGCAGACTCCACAGCCTCTCTGGGTGCCCTGTCACCTTCACAGTAAAAAAGTTCTTCCTGATATTCAGAGAGAACCTCTTGTGTTTCAGTTTGTGCCCAGTGTCATTGGGCACCACTACAACCACCTTGGCTCTGCCCATTTTATACCCTCCCCTCAGATATTTGTATAGACATTGATTAGGTCTCCTCAGAGCCTTCCTTCAATATAAACTTCAAATGAACACTTTCATAAAGAAAGAAATAGGAAAGCCATTAAAATCAATTTTGGATAAAGAAACACAATAGCTGTTTATTCCAGCTTCTTTTTTTATTCAACAAGGCTCTTGTACAGAATTTAACAAGAGTATAATGAAACAGATTCTAATGAAGATCAAATGCAACACATGCCTTAAGGGTTTTCACAAAGGTAAAAATAGTCCTTTGCAATTTAGATGAAAAAATACTTATGAAATCCACAAAGAGAGTCAATAGAACAATGTTATCACTCACAAGGAAGTTAAGTACAGTGGATTTACAAGAAGACTCTTATTTCTGCCTGTTTCTCTGGCATGAGGAAGGAAGCAAGGTTTGGCAGGGTTTGGAGTGGAAAGGAAATGGTAGCAGCTCCTGTCAGTTCCTCCAACACTCCTATTTCATCAGCTCAGCAGACTGCAAGGGTACCAACGTTCACGACAGTGGAGCACTCTGCTTTGCAAATTTCTAGTGCCTTATTGCTCAGCTAAAGATGAGATTTCATATCCAAATAATTTATTCCTTCTGCAAAGCTCCAATATCCAGATTTTGGACTACTCCATTATAAATAGCAACAATATGTGGAAAATCATTCTCTGTAACTTTCTGCCTCTAAGGAGGTGATTATTTCAGCTCCTAGCCAGCTGACTTGATCCACATATAAAAACATAGTTAAAGAATTAAGAATAAGGGGTGTTTTCTCCTTCTTTGATTGAAAAATAATTGATATAATCCTTTGGAAAAAATAAAAAAGAGTAGCTCTATAAATGATCTAATTAATTAGTCACTAATAGGTCTAGAATAGAAAAACCCCAAATGAATATTTCCCTATAGTGTATAATTCCTCAGTGTTTACTTACATAACAATGTCTTACATTCAGTCTTACTGCAAGTTTTTGATCCTTCACAAAAGCACAATTTTGACTTAGGCACAGCCAGGATATCAAAAAAATCCACATAGCTAAAAGTACTCCTCCAAGGTAACCACTGAAGAAACACACGTGATACACATGCAGTTTGGCCTCCACCTAAGTGTTTTTGTGTAAGATTTCCTGCCTTAAGTCAGGATCAGATTTTCCCACTTCACAGAATGGAAATCCTTCTTCATAGCAGGATTATGAAGAATCATGAGGCATCAAAAAAGGTAATAAAAATCATCATCATAACTGAACAAATAACTTCAAAACCACCCAGCCAAAAGGACTACTGAGATGGAATTGGAATGCAGGCAACCTAGAAGATAAGTTCTGACCAGTTTTTGCCGAGAAATATTTTGGCGTCTTGTGTTTTTCTGTAAATCTAGTTCCTACATAAAATATTTCCATAGTATTTTATTTAAATGGTGTATTTTACACTGTTTCTAGTTAGTGCTTGCAACATTCAATAGGATTGTGCAACCAGTTGTACATTGGACATTTTCTAGATGCTGTTACATCTACAAAATGTAAAAGTGAAAAAAAAATTGCATCGAGGATCCAAGATCACAGTAAACATACAGAAACTAATATCTGATAAACCTGAACTCCAGTCTCAAGGAAGATCAGGAGCCAGCAAACCGTTAACAATTCTTTAAGGAATTGAATTAAATCAATATTTAAAACGCTGATGAAATAAATGAAAATATGTGTCGAAGGCTTCAGAAGATATTTGAGGCTAAATGTGCAAAGGAGCCAAGCAGCAGCAAAAATGATGCAACGTAAATTGGGTTTGGAGTATGAAGTGACACCACTGAAACGGCATTACTGTACCAACAGGACACAATCCCAAGTGAAAAACCTTCTCATAACACTCTTCACTGCTGCCAGTGATGATGTTAATTACCACCAGCTGGGGAACCACATGCTGGATAATGTCAATCCTTGTGTGTAAATAGCACTTCTGATAAATTTTATTTGCAGCTCTATTTTCTGGCTAATGATGTGAAATAAATTCTCATTGATGTTTGTAAAATATGCTACCCCTGCAGTTGCCCATCTAACAAATTGGAGCATTTTATCATTCTTACAGGACAGTAATGATTCTGTAAGGGGTTGATTCTTAATGGTTAGAAATGCAGAATTTCCCGATGTATTTGCACAAGAAAATCCACTGACACTGCTTCCCATCTGCCATTTCTCAGGACCCCACAGGTCTGAGAAGGCTCTGCAGGACCAGGGCAGTGCCCCAGCTCTCTCTGCCCTGTGGCACCTTGGCAGGCTTGGCCATGCCAACAGTCCCTCCCCAGCAGCCCAGACCTCCTCTCTGCTTTGCCTTTGCCCTCTCTGGTTGTTCCCATTGCTCTGGCAGGGCCAAACACCTCCCGTCACCACCCACCTGAAATCTCTCCCGTTTCCTTGATGTCTCCAACCCAACTTCCTCATCACCCTCAGCCTCAGCTGCTGCCTCCCATGGACAGCTCAGGGCTCAAGCCACCCCCATGCCCACATGCACAGTGCCCCTTGGGGTGCAAGGGTAGTCCCAGCCATTCAGCCCATTCTGCATGGGTTACTGATGAGAAAACTGATCCTATTTAAAACAATTCCCAGAATCAAAATCCCACCAACAAACAAGCAAAAAACTAATAAAATCCAAAGGAATGAAGTGTCAAATGGAGGCACTCTCAGTCTGGGCTGCTCCAGGCAGTGGTTTGGTGTGGCTGAAGGTGGCCACCCTGCTCCCTGCCCTGGCCATCAGCCACAGGCTGCTCACACACTGCCTGCTGCAATGGGAGCTCTCAGCCACGTGGTGCAAGGCACTTGTGGGAAAAACTCAAAACAAATAACTTAATTTAATACAATACAATATAAAAAGTGTTTTGTGGCAGGCCCCACATTAGTTCTGACCAGAGGTCATATGTAACTGTATCCTCAGTTCACAAATAGCTGTGCCAGTTTGTTGACACAGTGAACTGCAGGGCAAAAACAAGTGGACAAGAGGAGGAAAAGGTCTTCTTATGCTGGCTTTCACCTCTGAGGGCATCATTTTCCTAGCTACCTGCTGAAGTTTTGCTGCTCATCCAAAATTGCAGAATCAGGAGTAGTAATGCTGAGGTCAATTCAAACCATGACCAGCCAATACAATGTTAAAAACTGCTTCTACACTGAATGATTTGAGTTGGAGGGGACCATAAAGATCATCTAGTTCTGAATGATTACTTACTTTCAACATAATTACAACCTCAACGTCATATTTTAGCACAACTCTGGTGTGAAACTCTGATTGAGAAGCTGGGAAGATTGTGAAGATAACTTGTGCTTCTGAGTAGAGTTTCTTTAAGTCTTCACTGAAAGCAGTTGAGTTTTCAAGTGAATCCTAATCCCAATTGCAATTAAGTCTTCTCCTGAATGAGAACCATAGTGCGTCTGTGTTCTTAATAGCTAAAAAAAATGATGTCATTATATTTCAATTGAATTAAAGGCTAGGTATTTCTGCAAAACATCTAACTTGAACACGTTCCTTTTCTTAAGGGAATAGGGATTCTCATCTATTTTTTTTTCAGCCAGTGAAACACTATTAACCTTAAGGCTTATTAGGGATTGCAAAACTTCATCAATATTGTTCCATAGATCACCTGCAGAGCATTTAGCTTGACACTTCAGACTGCCACAAGTCCACAGGCTACAGCAAAGGAAGTACAGGGGTAGAGAACATCTTGAATACCAAACCAACCTTTGTTTGGTCTGCTTAGATAAGTGGTGATTTTAAAGACTGCACAAATCACTTACAATATATTCTGGAAAAAATGCAATAGTCTATATTGCAAACATTCTCATTAAAACAACTCTCTAGCTAAGTGCCTTTATTTAGAAGGGAAAATTAATTTACACAACTGTCTTGTTAGAGGCAATGTCTCCTGCATGCACATGCTGACCTTTTTATAGTTGAATTACACCCAGTTGTAAACATCATAACACTAGGAAACAAATAATTTTAATATGCTTTTAATATAATCAAGAAAGTAAAGAAACTTTGGAATCCTTAACAGAATCTAGTTTAAGAACATTTACATTCAAGTGATTTTTAATTGTACATCAGTAACGAATTTTTGTTTTTGTAAAGAAAACAGTATGTCCATG